ACAATTCTACCGCCTCAATAAATTCTTTTTCGGGTAATTTTGTATGTTCTTTTATCTCTGCCCATTTATTTTTTATACAACTTATTGAGTAATCTATCGGAATATTTGTATATAATGATACAACATCCAGTGATATTATCCGATGATTCTTTGGTATTTTTTGTTGTTTTATAAACATGTAAGTAAAAATAATTGAACATTTGAACAAAGAATTCTAGTCTCTTCCCAGAATTGATTGTCCTAGCTAATCACCTGTTAAGACCAATTAATCTCAGAATATTTTAAAATGTTGCAATGATTAATGAGAACATTTAAAATTTTTTATTTTTTTTGACTACCTGTTATTTTAGTAAAACTGATGATGGTGGAAAACACCGAAACGTTTTTTTAAATTGATAAATGAACAATAAATAAATGACTGAAGAACCCAGGACTTGATTTTAATTTTGGAATTGAAACACAGTCAGGAAAGTACGTACAATTGAATTTATATCAAACTATTTAAAATTTGTGGACATTAAACAATATATATAACGGGCGCATGATGAACCACTAACTATTTACCAGAAAATATAAATGATTCAAACAAGTGTGTGTTTTACCTCATAGATGGTTTTGTTGTTTTTCTCCATAGCTTTTAGTCCATCCGATCCTTTCCAATTATATAAATTCACAAGATCTTTTACTACCGCAGTATTAAATACATGCATTTTCGTCGTTTTCCTTACAAATGAGTTTTCCAAAATGTGATTTTTCATGACAGTTATAATCATGCAAACCGTATCTGCATCATCATATTGAAGTCCTACAAGAAATATACAACACGTAAGTGCGAGTGAAAGTTAGTGAACAAATTTAGCCAATTACTTCATACAACAATTTGGTGTAATTTTTATCACACAGTTATTGTTGTAAGTTGCAAAAGGTCGTTTAATTATGTATGAAGACAAAAGCAACAAGTTTACAAGTTCAAACAAAACAAACTAAATACTACCAGCCAGAATTAACTTACCTGATATAACACGTGTTAAAAGTCCACTTTTTTCAAGTAAAATTGACAAAATATGCCAGTCACTATCAACCATAAATGCAATTAAAAAATGTATAAAGCTGTCTCGAACACTGTTTTTTTCGCCGGTGGGCTTCGATAGCAGTTCTATATTTGCTGAATGGAACTTAACTTTTAGCAAAATATCTTTGGCCAAATTCGAAGAGAATGTTGCCATAGCTGTGAGCAACTTAAGACAGGCCTAGAATATTTAAACATTTGCATTTACTACATGTCATCAATTAATTAGTTAATTTACTCACTTTTCTCTCTTGTTTTGATGAACTCAGCCCAAGCATTTTGTGAACAACTGATAAATAATTATTGAGCAAGTATCTACAAGATTCATATGCCGAGGTATAATACTGTCCATATTTAGCACTAATTCGCAAAAGTAAATGATTAATTATGTCGAAAACAATCGAAGGTGGTATGGAAGAATCATGTTCAAGGGCCTGAAGCAGTTCTAGGCAATTTCCACCATCTTTGAGATAATCAAAAATATAGTCATGCTTTGAGTTTGATGCCACCAATGCTGAAAACTCAGTTAAAGCTGAAACAAACACAACATTACCAATATACATTAGGTGATTAATTAAGAATAGGAATATTTTGTGCAATAGATAAACGTATGTAACATTCCAAGTCCCCTGGGTGAATATTATGATGATGAAGTTTCTTAGTGATGATTACGAAAAGAAAAAAATTAAATTGTTCGTTTATAATAATACTGCGAGCCCAATGCAAACAGAAAGAAAGTGCGTGTCTAAATAAAAAGTGTACGTTTCCTTAATTATAGAAATATGTGCATACAACTATAACACGCCCTTTTCTCTAGAGAAAATGTATATTGTGATCGATGGCTCCGACTAGACTGTCCAAGAGGATTTTGAAAAACGGAAGCCCAGGTAAATATGAATAAATTTGATTTCTAACCGAACATTTTACAGATTAAAACTACAGTGTGTTTCATTTGATGCCATTCATGATTCATGATACAAATGTTCATTCAAAATAAATCATTCAAAAATATCACGTGTTGTATTTTCGATCACATATCAAGATAGATCTTTGGAAACAGTGATTTGACCCTTTCAAACTTGAAACTGAAAACAATGTTTAGGATAACAAGAGAACCGTTTAGGATAAATGTGGCCCTTTTAAAATATTTAAACAAAAAGTTGAATAAATCGGATCTGTGAATATTCAGCACCATTTAGTTCAAACGTGCCAATTTACGGCTATCAAAACCGAGCTTTTTTTAAAGCATTGTAGCACATTAGCAACATTTTTATGAGTTTTTAGATTCTAACGACAAAACTTGTCGAGACATTTAAAATATCGGAATCTTCATTCTGAAAGCTAGTTTGATAAGATGGTTTCTACATTGTTGATACATGATAATGAGCATGCATTTTCTTTACAAATTCGAATAAATATTAGCCACATTTCTTTCATTTTAATTCGAATTTTTCACTGAAAGAAAATATTTTGGAGGTGAAATATTTTAAATTGCCCCAAAGAACACGGAAAAGAAACCCTGTATTACCTTGCAACTTTTCAGTGGATTGGAGCTGTTTTCTAAATTGCTTTACCGAATACAACTTCGGTTTCTTCTGTTTAGGGGCGACTTCATCGATAGAGTCTTCTAGTGGTCTCTTTTTGCCCACCGGGACATCTTCAGGTACATCGAATTCCATAATTAATTAGTGTATTATGGAAAAAGGGGCCAAACAAGCCAGCACTTCCGCATAACAATGTGTTCAAAAAAGATAGGTTAAACTCGAAAACAAAATTGGGTTAGTTATTGCACTCTCCTTCACCAAGTAAAACAGGAAGCCCGATAAGCAAGGTTGCCAAACTTGCAGCTGTAAAATCCTCAATAAATGTTATTTAATTGTAATTGAATTAATTTCATTACATTTCAATGAATTGAGTTCATTTTTCGCATTATCTAGCAGCTTCTTTATTATTTAATAAATCCATGTTGTTCTAACTTTATTCGATTTATGAAATAATGTTCATACATCCTTACATCTTTTACATCTGTATTTTTCATGGTTTTAATTAAAAGAAAAACACGAAATAGAAATTATATGTATGTTTATTTAGAAACTAATGACAAGTATACTAAATCTAATTAACTCCACCTATAGTGAGCGTACGCCTTATTTGCTTCACATTGTCTGTGCAAATCTTGTTTTCTTCGTATAACTCTTCCAGAATTGTTTGAGGCATCAACCAGTTCTCTGGCCAATTGCGTCCAAAACCGCACAGTTTTCTTGTCTTTTTCTCTGGATGCTTCAATCAGCCACTTCATTCCCAAAAAACGCGAACGATGATGTGAAACAGGTACAGGAACCTAAAATAGAAAAATTAAATCATTATCATTAAATAAATCTTTTATTGAAAATGAAATATCTTACCTGATATTTTACTCCGCCTCTCTTAACAGGCATAAGTTGTAAAAGAGGCATGGAATTGGTCACAGCCCGGTGAAATATTACTTTGGGGTCGAGCTCAATCTTGGCCTTATCCTCCTCTGAGGTGCATTTGTGGAACTTTTCCAGCTGAATTCGTTTAACTTGTTCCAACGATTTTTCAACTAATTGACGAGCAAAGTTTTTCCGGCCGTCTCTCATCAGGTAATTGGTAAAGAGGCTTCAAAATTAAAGTTTCTTTAGCATTTCTTTAAAAGCATAGATGCATGTCACATGCAATTTTCGACCATTCGAAATTAAAATTTACATTAAAGATATGGTTGAATGTTTCAATGAATGGGTAGTTTTAATTACACTTACGAAATATCAGGATCAAAAGTCAATGAACATGTTTGGTTATTAGCAGCAGGCTTTGTTGGTAAGTGCGCGTATTGGTCTATTTCCCCAGATTGGACAAGTTCCTGTTGAACTTCTTTTCTGAATATCGGATCTATGTAAAAGCTAGGGTATATTGCCATGCCATTTTGGAAAATACCTGCACTAGAATACAAACATTTCCGATTAATTAATTTGTACAATGAGCCAATTTTATATTACGTATGATGAGCAATAACAGAAATAGGTGTGTAAAAAACGGTCAAAACATAAAAATCAGGTTTTACAAATTTTATTTATTATATAACAATTATTTATAATAAACATTTGCACCTTTTGTGTAATAAAAATATCATATTCTTTCAATTTCTTGAAAATATTTTTCATCAAAAATAAAAATTATTTATAATGGAGCAATGTAGAAAATTCTGTACGAAATTCGTGTGTGAATTTAAAGGGCAAATTATACGCGATTCGATCAGTTAGGCACTACCGGAGTTTTAGAATATTTTATAGGTTAAGCGAATAAAAACTATCTAACGCTCACATACGCTCATTTGACGAGTAACCATTGATCCATAATCAAATTTCCATGAAGTTCTACAACTAAAAATGCAATAAAAACATATATTCTCACCTGATTGCCTGAATATTCCACTTAAAAAGTTGGCATTTCGCAAACAAACCTTTAGCCGCAGCCATTTCTGTCACTGATCGCGCATGCTATTTTGACCAACTTGATCTGTTCCATCTTTTGCAGTGTGTGCAGATTCCTGGCAAAATTTTCCAGCTAATTTTCCAAGAATTTTCGAAAACCCGATCAAACATTGTTTATTACTTATTTCAAGTTGTTTATGGAATGTCTATTAGCTCCTTCCTGGAGCCAAGGAACTACGCAGTACATGAAAGTTTAATATAGCTCAGTGCAGTGTTTTTGCTGGATCATAAAAGTTCCTATCAAAATGGCAGATCCAGGTAATTATTTATGTTAGTAAAGAAATTAGGCCAAAACCACGCAGTTTTACCCATAATCGAGAAATGTTTGATTTGACCTGCAGAAATAAAATCAGGGTGGGCCCTGATTAGGAAGACATTTAACTCTATTCTATGTGACATTTAATTTTGGATTTCATTCTTTCAATTACAATTGATAATTTACAGCATAAAATGTATCTATTTCTGTGAATTTTTAGGTCAAAACCATATAAATTGTAGTTAAGCAATCAAAAAGGCAATTAAAAATATTATGGCCTTTTATAATATTCAAATAATGTCTCTATTCTATCATATTCTCTCAGCACCTATCTCAGACGCAAATGTATCAAAATATAAATAATTCTACTGATAGCAAATCTCTTTGTAGAGAATGAATGTAAGTCCATAATTTATTATTTAACTGTCTTCCAAGTTTTGGATTTACTCTTTCTTATATTTGCTAAAAACCGTGAAATTGAGGAAACAAAATATTTCAGCTGGTAACAGTTTTCTTTTATCACCCTGTGGACTGTTTAGATTAATACAATAAAGCATTTAAATATTGATGTATAGTTCAAAGTAAGGGATGGATTTTTGCTGGTTAAATATTGTTGCTTGATTTCATTTTGTTAATGGCCTTTAGTTGCAAAATTTGAAAGCAATTGGCAGATTTTGTTAAACATGTTCAGATAAATATTATAAAATTCGATGGAAGACGCTAGAAGCGCTGATACAGAAACAGGAAGGAGAATTTTCTAGTTTATAAGGCTTTGGCGGTCGAAGTAAACAATATCCTCTCCTTATAGATAATCTCTTTATTTGCAACTTTTCTAAGTCAGTTTTCGATCTTTTTTCACTCATTGAATTTGATCACTTTTCCATACAATAACGAAGGAAGCAATCTTAGTTTGCATTCCTAACATCTCCCTCTATACCGTTGCTGGACGGGCAAAAATCAATATCCTTTTGCCAAAATTTAGTTTTAGGGAAAATAGCTGCTCAAATCCCTACTGCTTATGTTTGCGTATAGGCATCGGTATTTAAATAAATCAGTGCGAGCAATGCTCATTGCTGTTTGGTAGATTTATTGTAAAATAAAACGGTATATGCATATAACAGTCACAAATGACACACTGAATATACATTGCCCGCAGGACAATTTGTTGTTTTAATTAGCTCTTAGAGGCAATTAATATTCATCAAGGGAACTATGAATATTTACTATTAATTGCCTAAAATATATCTTGTTCTATGAATAGCAGCTTCTTTTTTATATAGCTCTTAATTTATTCGTTTCAAAATGTTTCTATTTACCCTCAAACCATTATTTGATGCAAAATTGTCTAAAAGTGGATTTACACGCTCAAGCCATGTGCACATACTGGCTTGCACAAGCCAAATTTGAGCAAATAAACTGAACGAAAATTTGTAGTTTTACACGCTCATTTCGTTTTACAGAAATGTAAAGTGAGGCACCCAAAATTGTATTTGTTGTCAACAAGGAGAAAAATGTGGGCGAAGAACTGACTAGATTGTTTTGTACATACACAGACTAAAATTTTTCCAAAAAATAGATAAAATTTTGGCATCGGATGGGAACTGGCGCCGGCACCGATACATCTTTTTCATTTGTTAGCAGAGACCGGCTCCTGCCGTTCTTACTTTTGTCTGCATCCCTTTTCCTAATTCAAATTTATGGCTTTATTTTTCTTTTCAATCTAAGACTTATTGTCACAAGCTGCAGATTTTATTTGAAAAATTTCCGAACATATGTAGGCGATTTCAAGCTTATTTTTACAATGGCGTTCTGAACAAAATTATCCATTAATCCAAACGGTTATTTAAATCAATAAAAAGTTTGATAATATGTGGAACAAGGGTAATATTAGGAAATAAAGACATACATTTTAATGATAACACAGGGTGAGTCAGCGAAGCGAGACCCCCCTCTTAGATTATACAGAAATAGCGACTGAAAAAAAAACGTTCATATAAAAGTGTTGTGGTTGTCGAAAAGTATTTGTTTCTGTTACTTTGAACTATACCGAGTAGCTCAAAATAAAGTTATGACAGTCAACTTTAGTTTTTTTAATTTTTAATGAAACTGCCCACTTTGTAATCCAGATTCAGGTTCTACATTGAATTCGAAGTATGTATTTTTTGTATAACATACTATGTGAATTAATTTAATGGTTTTGGACATCACGACATTTGAATATGGGAACGCAACAACAGTAAACTTTATTATTTTTTTTCCAAAATAAACGATATAATTTTAAAAGTATATTAAAGCAAATGTTCAAATGTATTGCCATTTTTCCTGAGGCATAATTCTAATCATATAACGTTGTTTGCGCATCTAACACTCGTCTGACTCTCTAGTTCATATCCTCGGGGTCAGTTGGAGGAACCTTGGTAGACCTTTTCTTTGACATGTCCCCAAAGAGAAAAGTCACAAGGAGTGAGATCAGGTGATCTGACTGGCCAATGAATGTCGGCGCCCCTTCTTATCCGTCTATGAGGATATGATCGATATAACAAGTTACGCACATTAAGGGCAAAGTGGGGGGAAGCGCCGGCATGTTGAAACCAAATATTTGGCCGAATATTCAGAGAAACTTTCTCCACATAGTTCTTGAGTTCATTCGTTAAAAATTGCAAGTACATATCGTCATTTAAGTTCCCTTCGAAAAAGAAATGCCTTCTCAATATTCCACCCCATACATTTATTCCGGTTCGTCGCGGTTCCTATTGTGGATTTGATGTACTATAATAATGCAAATGATGTCTATTTACATCTCCATTACTTCGAAACTGGGCTTCGTCTGTAAATAAAATTTCAGCCAGGAATGATATATTGTCATTAACTTTCACTTGTAACTAACTGCAGAAATGTCTTCTATTATTGAAGTCATCTCCATGAAACTCTCGAGTTAAGTGGATGTGGTACAGATGATATAATCCTAACTACTGATCTTTGGCTTACACTAAGATCATTGGCTTCCTATATTAACCTGTGGATTTACCACCAATCACATCAATTTCTTGATCTTCGCTGACAATAAATTCCTTTTTCATTCTTTTCGTGTATCCTACATTTCCAGTCTGCCTAAAACGAAATAGGGCTTTTCGCAGAACTCCACGGCTAGGTTGTCTTCTAGTAGGATATTTATTGCGACAAATCACATAATTTACTAAGTTATAGGTATAAATAGTTAACTACAATAAGTGTTGATGCTTCAAGTGTAGACCAATAGACCCAAACTAATCGTGTTCGTACTCATTTACAAATCGTTTTCATACGGATAAGCTTAAGTGGATGTTATTTCCTTACTTAAAAAAAGGGTCGTCCCCTTACAAGCTAGATCTCTTATTATTCTAGACAAATCATTTGATTTTTACTACTAGTTCTTTTTACACGTAAAATTTATTGACCCCATTTTATTGATTGAATCAATTGAAACTTCTTTTCAGGGCCTAGAAAGCAAACTCTTCTTAAAATGGATTTTCCGCAAACGAGTTTATCAAACTCATTCCCAATGCGTTTGGGAAGTGGACAGCCCGCAGATAAGGGTGGATTAGCGGCTACTTCCAGTAGGCCAAAAATGTGCCTGCCTGTCACAGTTAAGCCAAAAGATCCTGCAATTACACGAACTGCGTAAGTGAAATTTACTGGAGCAGGACAATGAGCAATTAGGCCTTGGTCTGCTATCTTTTGAGACAGTGTTAAAAATCCAATTAAATAAAAATTCCAGTTAACCATCGGTGGCATGCTTGAATTGCACCCCAAATTTTTCGTTGTCTCATTAGAATTTGCATAGGCTGTACTTGTCTAACCTGTATGGGACTCATAATTACTTTTGCTTTAAAAAGTATGTAAGGTGGAATTCAAATTTAAGAGCATTTTCACTAAGACGAAATGTTATTTAAATTATAATTAATTTGATAAAATTTGATGTATTTTTACAGTACTCGTCAAGTTGATAGAAGCCGTTTAAGGTAAAGATATTTTGTTGTGCTTGAATTTGTGTGGTTTTTTTGTGTGTGACTTGGAATTGGAAAGTAGATGATTTATTTTCTTTATATTTTATCTAATACTACATTGCACAATTATTGGGAAAATATAAATTGATTCTGTTAGACTCTCAAGGAACGAATATATATTATGAAGACCTTATTTAGTTGCAAAAAAGATATACGCTAAGCCCTATTGTTGATACTCTGATTTTTGCATGTGAAAGTTTTCTTATCTTATATATTTTATTATTATTTTTAACAATAGCGCAGATAACCGTTATAATTATTGATATTTTGGAACGTTGTCGTTTTTTACAGAGAAGCCAAATTGAAGATGTGCCATTCAATGAATGCGACTGGAAAGCTAAAAATTGCAGGAACTACTTACGACTTTACGTCAGATGATCTGCAGGACTTAGGAGAGATAGGTAAAATAAAATGCTTAGCCATAGAAAAATAATGTCCTAACATTTGCGCTATTCTATATAAGGACGCGGCGGTTTTGGAACAGTAAATAAGATGATTCACCGTAAATCAAACACCACAATCGCTGTCAAACGGATAAGATCAACAGTTGATGAAAAGGAACAAAAGCAACTTTTAATGGACTTGGATGTTGTAATGAAAAGCAACGAATGCAACTACATTGTACAGTTTTATGGGGCACTGTTTAAAGAGGCAAGAATTTAAACGCTTAATTTTTATAGTGTAAAAACGTGTTTTTTATATACAGGGCGATTGTTGGATTTGCATGGAGTTAATGGACACTTCTTTAGACAAATTCTATAAATTCATTTATGAAAGACTGAATGACAGCATACCCGAACCTATTCTCGGGAAAATAGCTTTGGCCACAGTTAAAGCTCTCAACTATTTAAAGGAAGAATTGAAAATCATCCATCGGGATGTAAAGCCAAGCAACATCCTGTTGGACAAGAATGGTTTGTTGATTTACTTTACATCTGGACCTATTACCAATTCCTGCAGACTTGGGTGTATGTAAACTAGAAATTTTTGTATTTTTTTAGGAAACATAAAATTATGTGACTTTGGCATCTCTGGTCAGTTGGTGGATTCAATAGCCAAGACCAAAGACGCTGGTTGTAGACCTTACATGGCGGTAAGTAAATTATTTATGTCGATTTTAATATATATAGGGTGACCCCAACAAAACGCTTAAATGAAACGAAGGCATGCCAAGTGCCGACTTTACAACTAGTGTTTTTTCCTGTTTTTTGGCATATCAGAGTTTTGTAGTCGCGTGATTAAGTCGGTGTCGAATAGATGTTGTGCGCGACTTAAGCACGCGTCTCATAGATAATATACCTACTTATATCTTTATTTTTTTGTATGTTTTGCTTGTTTGGTTCTGTGCTACTTGTGGAGGAAACTGCAATAAACCAAGTTAGAGATTTCCGGGAAATACTATAAAAAATGTGAGCATCGGCCAAACTATCCATATGCTGGGGCAGGCCCGGAAATCCATAATGAGAATTAATTTTTCATTGTATAATAATAATAATTATAGTCAGCCGTCATCTACTTTAACTGCTCGAGTTATTTCTGCGTCAGTCAGTTAGAGCAAACGATCGCCCTACCCATAGTCCCCTGTACAAGCGACTTCGCAGACTTTGTGAGGATTTTGTCCCCTAACAAAACGTGACGACAAAGTAACAGTTCCTGCAAAAGCAGGACCTCTTAATTTTCCTGCTGCTCTTCTCCAATACTCCATTTCTATAGCGGACAGCATTTTCTGTGTTCTGTCTTTGATTGGACAGATAATCGACTTCTGAACTGTACATAACAATACTTTTTACGATGATGTTATACAGGGTGTGGCGGAATGTATATATTTTTTTAATTTTAAAACTAAAAGTTGTTCTTTTTTTAATCGATTCTCAGGTGGCTCCTTTAGAGGCTCGTAATCAACCGACGCCCTCAAAGTTAACATAACCCAGGCCATCGCTCAAATCCAGCCGGATTTATGCGGCAGAGTCATAGAAAATTGGATCTCTCGGATACGGCGGTCATTTGAATGTAATATCTCTGTTTCATACATAATAGCATACACGGGACATGCAAATAAAAAAAGAATTTCGTCAATACCTCACACATGTGAGGGTATTGGTTGTATCTGCAGTGATCAATTTCTTCTATCCCTGTGTCTTTCAGAAGTTGTTGGTGAAGATTTTGGCCTTGATAAGGAAAGAGAATTTTGGCTTCCAGAATATAGTGATCACTTCCGCATGTTGGTCCGCGTTCTGCTTTGAATTAACGTCTTGGATTTTTAGTTTAGTCTTTTGTCTAGTAATAAGATAATCGATTGCTGATTTGAGATATTGGGAGGGTTTGGTCTAGGTGAATCTTTGTATTTCCCTGTGTTGGAAAAAGCCATTTTATCGGTTTCCATTGTCTTTAACAATCTCTTCTCCGAATCGGCCCACCGTCAGATCATTAAACTTTTTACCTGTTCTGCTGTTTATGTCTCCCAATATAACAATTTCTCTATATGTGCTGACTGTTAATATTTCGTTTTAATATTGTTCGAAGAACTTGTCTTTTTCGGTTACGTTGTCATCATCGTTTATTGCATATATTCCAAAAATCGCCAGTCTAACTCCTTTAATTGTTATAATTAATTTTTATCAGCCGTTCGTTTATAGCTTCTCAGTTGGTAATAAATTTTCTAAATTTATTGTTGACCAAAATGGATTCTCCTCGTTGTGTATGTTTTTCCTTATTTTCCGCTATAGAAATGGTCGTATTGTCCCAGGTTTTCAGATTCTTTCCCAGACTTGGGACTGGTATTGCGGAGTTTAATTTGTTTCAATTTCTTTCATAAATAACCAATATCCTTATTTGCAAAAACGTAATTTACAGGTAGGTGGATAACAAAGTGCAACCCGTGATTACATAATTTGAATAATGCAATTATTGATTTTTCGATTTTGTTTTTAAGCCTGAACGTATCGATCCTCAAACTGCTAAAGGCTACGACGTGCGAAGTGATGTGTGGTCTTTGGGTATCACTTTGATGGAAGTGGCTACTGGTCATTTTCCTTATAAAACATGGTCTAGCGTGTTCGATCAACTTCATGAAGTTGTTCATGGGGATCCTCCTCGCCTATCAGCCAATGCCAATCGATTTACTGCCGAATTCATCAATTTTGTTAACACCTGCCTGATTAAGCAGGAAAACCTGCGGCCGAAATACAACAAATTATTGCAGGATCCGTTTATACTTAGAGCCACTCAGGATAAAGATGTTGATGTAGCTGCGTATGTTACAAAAATCATGGATGAAATGGCCAATAATGGAATAAGCGCGTTTACCACCAACTTGCAGTAAGACATTCAGTTAGTAGGTAGAAACATATGATGTTCCAAGTGATGGAGTATAATAATGGTAATGCAATATGTCCGTATATATTTTTAAATCATCCAGTTTTCAACTGAAGTATGAACGATTCAACATCCAGAACATGTGTTATTTTCTGTGATATGCACTTACCAACTGTGTGGTCAACTTATGATAGTGCTCAAGTAAATTTAATTGAGTGATTGGCCACATCTGGGATAGTTATTGATGTTGATTGGTGCTCTCAGATCTTGATGGTCGAGAACTATCAATCAATGTTCCATGAGAAGTTTATTACTTCACTTGTTCACTGCACTGTACATAATATACATACATGTTATAATTTTATTATATGGAATTGGTCCGTATGAGATTATTGTAAATGTTCTGATAGTTAAGTCCATTATAGTAAGTGTTGACTTGTTAGCGCCAACCTGTTAATCTATCTTGTTAACTGGTGTTGGGCTTTCAGTTTTATTAGATCAAAGGCAAATTGATAGTTACAAATTTGATAAAAGGGAAAGCACATGTTTTTTAGCAACTAGACGTTCAATAAACGAACTCAGGTGATTCAATAATAATTACTACTCGTAAAACCTAGGTAACTTTTTCAAAGATTACCACTAAAGCATCTTTTCTTTTACAAAAATTCTCTTTAATGCTTGTCGAATTCTACCCCCGATTAATTGTTTTCCATTGATATTTATCAATGGAAAACAAATAATTGAAGGTACTTAATAATACAGTAATTGGAGGAAACAATTAACACACCCTTTCATTTGAAAGGGCCTGTTTGTTCCATTTGTTACCCCATTCTTTTAAGATTGGGCACAAACTACTTAAACGATTAGCAGCTTTAGAGCTAGCACTCACTTTAAAATAAATGTTGTTACTAACTTGTGAGTTACGTTTTGCCATGGTCTCTGGTAGACTAATGATATTTTAATATAAGGTGATACATTTGTATGACTAAGGGTCCTATTCTGTAACTATTCCGTTAAAAATTAAGGGCCTTCAAAAATTAAATTTTTAACGGTCCGTTATATCGCAATCGACTTGTAAATAAAATATATTTTAGCGGAGTCCGTTAAAGTTTTTGAATAATAGTAAGTGGCCACATCGAAATCCACCCTAAATTTATAATGTTAACTTGAAATTGTCTAAAGTAAACCCTCGAGCTCGTATCTGCCTCAAGACTGGCCGTTTAGATTGTTTTGTCATTTCCGTTGTCGATTTTGAATATAGTTAGTTACAAAAGTCCAAAAGGCACTTATCATAAATTTCTTGGAGGAAAATTTGATATTCATGCATGGTAAACAAGACCAACTCAATTACCATCAAATAAAAAGTCTGTGGCAAACACATACAAATTAATTAAATAAAGTTGGACCACCAAAAACATGCAGTCAGTGGAAGATTTGGAAATACAATCCAGTTCTCCCATAAATGCGAGTAAATTACGTCTGTAACTTCGGCAATGCATCGACTTATGCTCTGTTGACTCATAGTTATTGTACAACCTTGCTATGTAGTTCCTTGGTAACTTCCAGTGGTATAAAAACGTAAAGTAGCTAATATTTTTGTTGGGTTTGAAATTGTTGTACTTCTTTTAAGATCTGGCATGTGTTGGCTTATCAAGTCAATTATGATTCTAGTTGAATTTTTGTTAAATCAAAAAATGTATTTCAATTTACTGGTGTCTCGAAGGTTTCTATAATGTAGACGAAGTTACTCTTCATACTGTGCAGAAAAATTGTTTAGCAGATCAAACAGCAAGGACAACATTTTACAGTACCTTTCATCATTTTCGATGATTTGTTCTCTCAGAACTTCTCCACCAATATCGTAAAACGCCACTTCAAAAATTGTACTGAAGCAACTTCTTTAAACACTTATATTTGAGATCAAATCATCATTAAACATAAGCGGTTGGCCGATATTTTTAACGGAATTAGGTTATATTTTTAACGGACAAAAGTGTTACAGAATGTCAATTGCAAATTAAGCGGTCGTAAACGTCCGTTAATTTTTCACGGAATAGTTGCAGACGTACAAAATACCCTAAGTATCGAACATTCATTCACTACTCTTTCGCGTTGAAACCTTCCACAGGCACATTTAAGCGTTGATTGAAAGAGTACAATACTCTTTCAACCAACGGTTTAAATGAGTTTTAACAATGTAGTGTACCTATCGAAACGCGCGTCAGGCGTAAAATAAAGTGTCGAAAAGGCATTAAAACAGGGTCAGGCAACGTTGATATTGAAAAATCACCTTATTTTAACATGTCAAAAGTGTTTTTGTGATTTTAATTTATTAGAAGACTTTATTGTTTAAATTAGACTGTAACAACGTATCGAAGTTACATCGTCTAGGATGTAACGTATTAGGATCAATGCATTTAATAGATAATTATTTGATTTCTAAAGATTTTTTAATGATTTTCTCAGTAGATAAGTAATCAAATGGATGTTGCAATTTCAATTGGAATCATAGTACATATATGTCTAATCAGTATCAAAGGCAATAGTTAACTTCTTTGTAATGAACACTAAAGGTTTGAACAAAATAATGAAACATAATAGGGTGATTCTCTTGGTAGCGCCTCCATACTGCAAACATTTATAATATTATGCAATGTAAAAACAGTTATGTAGCTTGTAATATTACTTCTGTAATGCAATGTTATTTAACACTTTGTTTTGGTGTTGTAAGCAATATAAAAAACTTAGTTGTTTTATCCTGAAAAGTACGTTTATATACTTTTATCACAATTAATCTGTATAATATCCTAGTAATATACAATTTTATTATAAAATCCTTGTCGTTTTTCGAAAAAACTTTATTTGTCACTATCTTTATATTTACAATACAAATTACCTCTACAGCCCATTTTCTGGGATTTTTATTGAGATTGCATATTCGGCCATTGCATTCCACACTTGGGATCTTTCAATGCTGTCGTATGTTTGTCGAAAATCTATGAATGGACATTACGGTTGAACTCTCATGCTTTTCCTAGTAATTGCCTTACTGTAAAAAGCTGGTCAATAGTGGATCTAAGTTTCTTGAAGCTTGCCTGATATTCCCTGAGTCTGGAGTCAGTCTATCTAAGACTTTGTAGGCCGTATTGATGAGTGAGATTTCCCTGTAGTTTGAGCACTTTGTCTTCTCACCTTTTTGTGGATTGGTATTATGATGCTTTTTTGCCACTTTGTTAGTATTGTCCCCTCTTTCCATATCAAAATAATTAGTTTGTGTAATTGTCGGTATAACGATTCAGCTCCGTACTTTAATAGTTCTGATGGTGGATGTTATCCGATCCAGGAGCTTTTGAGTTTAAATTTTTTTTTACTGCCTTTTGAATTTATTCTAAGAATATGAAGGCTTTCACGGCCGGTTAAACATTTAGGAATGTTTTGCGGGCTTTGAAGCCGTGGTCTATGGGAATTTCTTCCTGACGTTTCGTCCACAACTGCGGTGGACATTATCAAAGGCGATGAAGCAGTGGGCAAAGTCATCTCCCGTGCTTTCCGACTAAGACTGTCTGTCTTGACTAAGACTTGTCTCACAGCCCAGAACGCCAGATCATCAGCTCTGGGTGTGCGTAAGAGAGCAGTTCCCAAAGCTCACCAAAAAAGAAAAAAACCGTCAACATCCAGTGTGCGATTTTCATTCCAAATGAATTTCTGTTCCAGTTCTTGTTCATATTTTTATTCTGGATTCGGTAGTTTGTGGTTTGATTAGTTATTCGGTTTTTCGATATTCTGATTTGAAGTTTGGCTTTTACCAGAAATTTATCTGTATCTCCTTCTACGTTGGATACCCAGGTTTGTTTATGGCTGTCGTTATGAGGGAAGATTGTGGCTTTTATTAGCATGTTGTTAACTGATGCTTATTATATTAGTCTTTGTCCGTCGTCATTGGATATATTGTCAAGGCTATGTTGACCTACCTATTATCGGCATTAAGTTCTTTGCCTATTTTTGCGTTGAAATACCCGCATAGTACTATCACAGTGGCGTAGCGAGGGGTGGGCAAGGGAGGCATCGTGCCTCGGGCGCTACTCACAAAGGGGCGCTAAATGATCCGCAAAATAAAAAATTGCTTGGTCGAATTATTTCGAATGAGGATAGAGGGGCGCTAAAAACCTATTGTGCCCCGGGCGCGAGTTCAGCTTGAGTCCTTAGTGACTTCGTTCATGTCTTCTGTAGGAGCATATACTGATAATAAGGATATGTTATACCAATATGCCTTTATTCGGATGTAGCAGAGTCTATCACTTATGGGTTCAAAGCGCAGAACACTGTTTATAAGCTGCGCTTTTATGACGAAACCAGCTCCATACTCATGTCGCCCACTCTGATTTCCACTGAAAATACCACAGATTTACTCATTCTTAGGTTCCTTATTTGGCTGTTTTTTATTAAATGTCAATTATATTCCTCTCTCCAATTTATTAAAGTATCAAACCAAGCATATCACTTACTAATTGGAGTATTTAAAACAGTATCGTGTTTTCGGATAGTTTGAGTGCTTACGTTCGAAATCGAAAATAACAAAGTACAACCTATAATGCACCTAAGTAATCAGTTGAAGAACTTGATAAGATACTTGAAGGAGAAAGTAAATAAAATACGTGTAGTGCCATTATATAAATAGGTAGACACTCCAACTGGACCTTTAGACGTATATGAATATCCTTAGCTAAAGAAGGTGGGATTGAAAGCATATCTTAATTAAATTTATTGGTGTTATTTGGTTAACTGTGTCTTAGGTTGTTACAGATTTCCACCATGAAGTTCATTTCTGCCTTGGCCATTTTATTGGTTGTGGCCGTGATGGCTCAAGGAGGCGAATACACTGAGCGTTTCTTGACGCTTTACAACACCATTATAGATTCTAAGAGCGGCTACTTTTCTAAGGAAGGAATTCCTTATCACAGCGTTGAGACTTTGATGATTGTTAGTATTGACTATGGTCACGAAACTGATTCTGAAGCTCAAAGGTACTTTATTTTTAGTCTTAACTGTATAGTCTTGTCCCTCATTCATTTTAATTACTTTCACATTTTTGTATATATCGTATATCTAGGGCCTTCATTTCCTCACAATTTTGTGTTGGAAAATATTCCTCATGTTCTTTGCTAGAAATTAAACAATAAATACGCTTTTATTTTTTATTATCTTATAAATACAAATTATTTTATCTGTTATTTTTTAAAATTGCTCATTTTTCATTAGTAAATTGATTGTTGGTTCTTTTGTGTTTTCGGGTAATAAGATTTGGATCCTGGTGTATGAGATTGATTTTAAATATTGCATGGATGGTGGATTTAAAAAAATACTATACAAAAAACTTATTTGAATGATGAGGTTTTGTTTTTTATAACTATAAATTAATATACATTCAGGATATGTCTACACGAATCTAGTGGTTTTAATAATTTCCAGTTTAAACCGTTTTAAGGCTCTGGAATATGAAATTTAATTTTTTTATGGAGCTTGATTCAAAATGTTTGTCCTAAATAAGATTGTCTGAAAAGTTAATTTCTAGAAATATATTTTTTATTGGACTTATAGCATTAAAATTAAAACTTTACCTTATTATTTTCACACATCAACACTGTAATAATAATACACATCAAGTCTATACCGAAATTTAGAACTGTACCTAAGAACTTAAAAATATGAATATTTTAAGTTGTTTTGCCAAAGATGAGTGTGTTTGTGAATCTAAGTAAGTTGGATGCTATTTGACATCACAAAATACTTCTCTTCTGTAAAAAATTTAACGGAAATCGTTTTCATTGTGGATTTTGTCGATTGCAACATGTTAAAGGTCGGTAAGACATTTGCTATTGAAATAATTCAGCTAATTATTATTTCGGAAAACATATAAAATTTTCAATTAAAGTATGACAAAAATATAATATCAAAACATATTCGGTTGATTTGTTTTAAGGCTTTTGGGGAGGAACACATTGGCAAAAGCTGAAGAACTGTATCGACACTTATTTTCATTTTATAGCAAGTGTTTAAGAAATGTTGTCCAACACTCTTTGTAGTAATGTAGATAACTTTTCAAAAAACGTCCCGAGATTTTTTATGTATAAATCTCTGTTGTCTGCGAGTATCAAATATATTTTAAATTAATTTTACATAAGAATGTTTAAGTGTATTTACGCTACTTATCACTTATTACTAGTTTTAGGGTTTTTATACTTAGCTTAGTTGTAAACATGGAATTGCAAAACGTGTAAAAATATGGAAAAAATAGCTCCTAAGCTCTTATATGAAATTATACAGTTTTCCTTAAACGGTCATAAAGGGGTTGAAACATTAGTCGGATCACAGAAAATATTAAAAACTTAATAGCAGATTATTTTCTTACGATTATAAATGCAAAAAAGTATATATAAGCTAAATTTTAAAACTCGACAAACCGATAGGTTTGGTCATAAATTTAAGAACTATGTATCAGTTAATTAATTGGAAATGTGGCTTCTATTTTTTGTGCGATTCTTGTCGTTAATGTAATCTTTCTTATATTTTTTTTCAACACGTAAACTTATCAGATATGCAAAACTGTAACGCCAATTCATGTATTTACTGCTAACAAATTCTTAGAAAATTAATCAGTACATTTAACTGTTAAAACTTATTAAACATTCGCCTACGTAAGCACGTACACGCACTTTTTAGGTGTTAATCAATGCATATTTTTTTAGGAAAACTGTAAACATAAGTGTTTGTAATTATGCGGCATTAACTCTTTCTCGATGTCATGTTTTTGAGTCGAAATTATCAAATATAAATATTGCGACTATAAATTAATCTCTGTCATAGACAATTTTTTGTTTTAGTTACAATCTTTGGCTGAAAGCTATGTATGGAGCCATATCTGGTGACTTTTCGCATTTCAACCAAGCCTGGGACGTTCTTGACGGTTACTACGTTCCAGAAGTCCAATACAACAACGAAAAGTAATTAATATTACTTTGAATAGCATTCATTTTTTTTTATATTGCAAATGTGTTTTAGATACAACCCAGAAGCTGGTGGTGAGAGTAACGGTGTTACTGTTGGCATCGATCCTCTTGGTGCTGAATTAACTTCATCTTATGGAGACAGTAGACTGCGAGTTATGCATTGGCTTTTGGATGTAGACAATGTTTATGGATTTGGAAATGTGCAAGTAATTATTTTAGTTTTGGGTGATCTGGCTAGATTAATTATCCGACCTCTGCTTCTAGGGTAAATGCGAAGAAGGTCCGTCGGAACCTGGGCCCTCCTTTGTTAATAACGGGCCCGGGTCACTTTGGCAAGGAATCACCTATCCTACTTGCGACACGTTCAAATATGGTGGAGATGTTGGCTTTTCGGTAAGAATCTTTAATTTCAAAGCTGCCTAATGCAATGAGCAACAATTTTAGTGGTATGCTTCTGTTCCCAATTGGGGATACAGTGCAGCTCCGGACGCTGATGCTCGATCTATTTTAGCAGCCTTCTGGGCCTCACAGTGGGCAACGGAACAAGGAAAACTTGGCGATATTTCCGAAACTTTGTCCAAAGCCTCAGAGTTGGGAGACTATCTGAGATATACACTTTTTGACAAGCATTTCAAGCAGGTATTGATGGAGGGTTGCACACATTGTCTCCTGTTATACAACATTGCTGTTCCTTCTAGGTAGGAAACTGTATCGGCAAAACTGCCTGTCCTGGTGGAGAAGGCAAAAGTAGCGCCCATTACTTGATTTCCTGGTATATTGGATGGGGAGGATCGATTGACTCTTCTGGAGCATATTCCTGGCGAAAGGCCAGTTCAGAGGGACATATTGGATACCAAAATCCCATGGCTGCTTACGCGCTTGTCAACGACCCTAACTTAAGGTAAATATTATTTTCTACGCAAACAGTTTTTTAGACATTATTGTTTAGGCCAAAAAGTGCATCTGCTGTAGAAGACTGGCAAAATTCTCTGGAAAGACAACTTGAACTGTACAAATGGGTTCAGACCAGTGAAGGTCCTCTAGGTGGTGGCGTAACTAACTCCTGGAACAATGCTTATGATGAGCCTCCAGCTGA